TGGCTTCCGTCCGCCCAGTGACCGACCGCTGCAACCTGCTCCCTGGTGCCACGAATCTGCCGGACCACCGCCGGCATGTAGAAACGCGGCGAATGGAGGGTGTACCCCCGCGGTGTGTCTTGCACTCCTGCCTTGCGGAGGATCACCTGCAGGGTGCGCAAGCAGTTGTGGTAGGAGCCTTTCCTCAGAGGGGCAGCTATTTCCAGTCTACCCTCCCCGGGGTGCTCCACCGCCGGCCAGAGCCATTTCCGTGGTTGGCCTGGGTCGCTTTCTGGAGTCAGGGCGCCGGTCAGCTCGTGCCATGCCCCACCCCAGTCGCGGCCGCCAGCGTCGTGCCGCAACGCCGCCCACGGGGTCGGCGCTGTTTTCCGGTTCGTGCGGTACGACGTGCCGTACAAGGCATCCCGCGTGAGCCCGAGGTTCCACGATCTGTGGAGGTCTCCCCAGCGGAGCACAGCGCTGGCGAGGCAGATGTAGAAACCTGTGATCCATCGTTCTGCACCTTGTGCCCGCCAGAAGAGGTCATGGAGTTTGTCCACTACCAGCTGCGTGAACGGTTCCGCCTGCACTCTCGTGGCGGCTGCCGCTCCGTGCGCTTCTGTCACGGCTGTCAATACCAGTTCGTCCTGCAGCGGCCACCCCATCTGGATTGCGTTGTCAAGCCAGCGCAGCGCCGAAAACACAGCACCGGGCACAGAATGTCCCCGATCCTTCTGCTCGTCCAAATACACCTTGACGTCGATTTCAGTCACAGTTGCAACCTGGCGGCCGCGCGATTCCAGCCACGTCATGAATCGATGGACATGCCGGGAGTGCTGTCTGACCGTGCTCGCCACTCGCGCTTTGCGCCCTAGCAGCTCGGCCAGTAGCCTGCGCTGGTCCCCAATCGGCAATCTGCAATCATCCATGCGGGCGCAACGCTGGCTGTGTTGGCGCACTGAGTCAACGAGATGCAGGCATGCCTTCAACGCCGTCTCGTGCTCGCGCACGTCCAGGCTCTCCTGGTCGCGCTGCTGCTCTGCGCGCGGGCGCGAGCTTTTGAAGGGTCGTTGTGCTCCCGTCGCGGGCAGCGTGCGCAGGTTTTCAACCGTGCGCAGCGGTGCCGCCTCTTTGAGGTCGGCCGTGGCATGCTTCCTTCGGACTTTTGCCACGTGCTTGATGGCAAGGTACGCCTGTTCTGCCAAATCCAGGGCATGGTCGAAGAAGCCCGCCGGTGGTCGCAGTGGGTCTGTTTCGGGGTCTGGTTCCCCAAGCTCGTCTGCCAGGATTTCCAGCACCAGCAGTGAGGTTACATAATTCGCTTCCAGCCATTGTCGCACGGCGCCAGCGGAATCGCCCGATGCAGCGCAATATGTCTCCACTGCGTTTTCGAGGCGCGGCGTCAGAAGCGCCAGCGGGGCGCGCAGGCCCTCGTCCCCGCTCTGCTCCAAAACGGGGTGGGGATTCTCCATCGAAGCTGCCTTTGTGTTCCTACTACCTCCCGCCGTGGCCGCAAGGCAACGGGGCGGAGGCGCGGGTTTAGCAGCAGCTGCGCCGAACCGCGTCCCCCACGCCCGCTTGGCGGTGCGCGGTGGTGCGGGTTTTTGCTTGCTCCCCCCTCGTTCCCCGTCGCGGCTGCTGTTCGCTGGCCGTCAGACGAAGGTGGAGGGGCAGATGATTATTTTTCCCGTTCCCGTCCCTCGGGCCCGCTTAGCGGTGCCCGGTGGTGGGTCTGTTGGGGGTGGGGGTGGGTTTCTTTGTGCCTCTGCTGCTGGGCTCGCTTGAGCCGGAGGCTACGGTTGCCTGGCCCTCTCTCTGTCGCGTCGCAAGCTTCCTGCCTCCCCTCTCGCGTCTGCTACTACGGCCAAGTAGGGGGGGGGTCATCCCGCTTGCACGTCAAATGCGCTGAACGGTCAGGCGCCCCAGGAAACTCTCGAGAGGCGCGGCTGCAATGACAGGTCCCACCATCCCCATGAGACTTAATCTCTCCTAGGCCGTGTCCCCCCAAACCTGGTAGGAAGACGTATAAGTCTCCTCTGCGGCGGTGGTGATCCAAACCTTGAAGGTGTGGGCACGTCGTGCCCCCAATTGGGAAATCAGTTTCGAGTTTCGGTTTCTGCATTCCCCACCCCACTCTCCTTATCAGCTGTTCATTGTATTGCGCCCAAGATTGATGAGGATAGGTGGGTGATGATTCTTCCGTGGGCTTCAGCAGGTCCTCTCCCAAGCGGGGGAAGGAAGGCAGGCCTCCCCCCGAGCCCTAAGTCATACCTACTTTCGGGGAGGCCGGCCTCCAGGGACAACGCCCAACGGAATACCACCCACTTCCTGGGAGGCCAATGCGAGATCCTGGATACTCGGAGTGTGGAGCCACTAGGTGGTCCCCCAGAGTGTGGCCTCATTTGCGGCCTTCCCGAAGCCACTTAGTGGTCTTCGTTTGGCTTGCTGTCGCTGCGAAACTCGCTTGAGCCGCAATGGTTTCTTTGTGCCTCTGCTGTTGGGCTCGCTTGAGCCGGAGGCTACGGTTGCCTGGCCCTCTCTCTGTCGCGTCGCAAGCTTCCTGCCTCCCCTCTCGCGTCTGCTACTACGGCCAAGTAGGGGGGGGTCATCCCGCTTGCACGTCAAATGCGCTGAACGGTTAGGCGCCCCGGGAAACTCTCGAGAGGCGCGGCTGCAATGACAGGTCCCACCATCCCCATGAGACTTAATCTCTCCTAGGCCGTGTCCCCCCAAACCTGGTAGGAAGACGTATACATATTAACCTTATGTTTGCACATGTTGTAAACATCTGGAGGTGATTTGGCAACATGTTTCCTCTCCACTCCACCAGGCTACAATCAAGCCGTATCGTAAGGATTCGCGATGAAGTTTGCAAAGGCCTCGGAAGCCCATGTCGGAGCGCTTCTGGAGCGGGGCGCGGCCAACGAGAAAGCGGCCAAGGATGGACAGAGGAGGCAAGGATGCAGGGGTACCCTTGGGAGAATTGCTCGTTCTTGCTGTGCGGGTTGACTGTACGACGACGTCTGGACGGGGATACATCCTGATGGCCATGCATCTAGAATCTCTGAACTGGCGGGTCCCGGTGAGGAGAACGACCTGGCAGGTCATGATGAGCGCTGGCGGGTCCCGGTGAGAGCTGGCCGGACCTCATGAGAGATGGCGGATCCAGAGCTCTGGCGGGCCCTGAGAACGAACGTGCGGGTCATGATGGGCGCTGGTGGGACCTGGTGAGAGCTGGCCGGTCCTGATGAGAGATGGCGGGTCCTGCCATCTGGCGGGCCCTTGGAACCCTGAAGAAAAAACATGACGAGGATGTATCGGGCGCCGCGGCCGCTTCAGAGCGCTCCAGCACGCTGTGAGAGCGGCCGAGCGAACTGCGGCGAGCCTTCTGATTGAAGTCGGGACCGACTTCAGACAACATGGCATAACAGCGAGTTGCGTTGAAATCGAGCTCGTCCATGCTTCGATGTTTATATCCGCCACTATGCCTGCACGGAGTGGGCGTGTTAGCGAGCTCGTCTGCTGTCCAGGAGGTTTGCTATTCTCTCTAGAGCCGCACCCCCCTACCCGCAAGTGTGGTTGAAAGCTCGCTCCCCCTTGACTTGCTCTCTGGCACTCTTGTCGGCCTCCGTACGGGCGAAGATGTGTTCCCACGAGGGCCCCAAGTCGGACTCGGCTCGGTAAGTTGGGCTCTGCCCTCCGGCCCAGGCGGGCCGGAAGGTAGAACCGTGGTGCCGTGGGTGGCGCGCCGGCCCGCTTGTCGTTTCCTGGGCCCCGCGGAGCAGGGTCCCGCCGTGTAGGCGCAGCCAGCCTGGACTGGCTTTCAGTTTCATTATCATTATCATACTTGAGGGCCCGCTGACGGTCTCCCCCTTGGTGGAGGGCTCGAAATGTGAGTTGGAGCTCTCGGAGCCATCCTGAGCCGTCTTGGGCGCCTCTCGGACCGTCTTGGGGCTCTCTCCAAAGAGGGGGAAACGACCTTTTCCCCCCTGCGAGGCCCCAGTGCCGAGCTGTGCGCCCCACGCCTATGCAGCCGGACGCCCGAGGACAGAAGCACGTCCTGCAAGAGCGTGAGGGCCTCCGCCGGCCAAGACATCCGAAACCACCAGATCACCGAGGGAAGCCTTCCCCAGGACGCACAAGACCATACGACGAGCACGAAGAGCACTGGGGTACCCGCCCCGATCGGGGATCTGCTGACCCGGGTCAATCCAGACCCGGGTCAGCCGGGCCTTGCAGGATCCTGCAAGATCCTGCACCCAAGCCCGGGTCAACACGAAAGATCCTGCAAGGTCCTGCAGAATCCTGCTCCCAAATCCGGGTCCATGCGACCCTGGCCCTGCAGCATCCTGCGAGATCGGGCGCTCTGGCTCACCCCCGCTTGCACTGACCCCCGTCCCGTGGTCCCCGAACCCAGACCCCCAACGTCGCTATTGCCCCCCAGAGGTCTCGACCCCTTCCCTGGGACCAGCTCTTCATCCCGAGTCGTCTTCTGACGGCCCCGAGGCCCGGCGAGGGCCCCCGGAGGCCAAAAATGGCGAAGACTCTCCCGTCGTGATTGCATTTCTGGACGCCCGAAGTGGGTACGGAAAAAATGGGTACACTGCCCAACAACAAGTGTTGTCCCAAACCAACAGCGGCCGCTGTTGGGCAGGCGGCCTTCTGTCTCGAGTGGACACAGGCCGCGGCGGCGGGGACAGCGAATCCTGCTCAACATGAACAGGAACTGCTGTTGGGCATCGTACCCATTCTTTCCGCACCCATTTCGGGCGTCCGGCGAGGGCCCCCGGGGGCCGCAAGTGGCGAAGAATCTCCCGCCGGGATCTGCTCACGACGCGAGGGAGTCGAGGAGGACCGAGGGTCGAGGAGGATCGAGGACCGAGGAGGATCGAGGATCGAGGGGGATCGAGGACCGAGGAGGTCGAGCCGACCTCGATCGTATCCTCCGGCGCGAGCGTCGCCAGAGGCAGGGCGCCGGCCGTCGCGGCGGCGGCCGCACGGGGGCGCGGCGCGCGGAGAGCCCGCGGAGGTCGCCGTGGCCCCTCACCTCAGCGGGCTCCTGCGCGAGCCCCGGGGTGCCGCCGTGTCCGTCGTCGTCTTCGCTGTCTCACCCACCGCGGTCGCAGGGGAGGAGGAGGAGGAGACGGAGGAGGAGGAGGAGGAGGAGGAGGAGGAGGGGAAGGAGGAGGAGAAGGACGTGGATGAGGAGGAGGAAAAGGAAACAAGGACAGGAGGACGAGGAGGAGGTGGAGCAGGAGCAGGAGGAGGAGAGGGGGAGGACGAGAAGGAGGTGCAGAAAGAAGGGGAGGAGGAGGAGGAGGAGGAGGAGGAGGAGGAGGAGGAAGGGAGGAGGAGGAGGAGGAGGAGGAGGAGGAGAAGGAGGAGGAGGAGGAGGAGGGTAGGGGAGGGAGGAGGAGGAGATGGAGTGAGAGGAGGAGGAGGAGGAGGAGGAGGGGGAGGGGGAGGAGAAGGAGGAGGAGGAGGAGGAGGAGGAGGAGGAGGGCGAGGAGGAAAAGGACGAGGAGGCGCAGTCGGACGAGAAGGCGGAGGAGGAAGGCGAAAGGGAGAGGGGGGGAAGGAACATTCCAGAGGTCCCCGAAGGCATTCCGAGGGGTCCAGAGGACCGTTGGGAGGCCATTGGCGTCCAGAAGCGTCGATCCTCGATCACTCTCTCGTCGTTGTCGTCGTCGTCGTCGGCGCTGTCGCCGTCGCCGTCGCCGTCGCCGTCGTGGTCGTGTTCGTGTTCGCCGTCGTCGTCCTCCTCCTCCTGCTGCTCCCCCTCCTCATCCCCCTCCTCCTCCACCTCCTCCTCCTCCTTCTCCTCCTCCTCCTCTTCCTCGCCCTCGTTCTCCTCCTCATGCTCGTCAACATCCCGTCTCTGCGTCGTTTTTACTGACACGAATCCTTGACGGAATGTATTTCCATGGCGCTTGACAATCAATATCCACCCCTCCTCCAATTCCCTTGCCCACCCTTGCCCCGCCGCTCAGAGGGAGGGAAGGATAAGCAACCTGTCCCATTTCCCACTCCCTCCCTCAGTCGCGCCAGCAGGCAATGACGACACGCCAGTCGTCGTCGTCGTCGTCGTCGTCGTCGTCGTCGTCGTCGTCGTCGTCGTCGTGGTCGTGGTCGTGGTCGTCGTCGTCGTCGTCGTCGTCGTCGTCGTCGTCGTCGTCGTGGTCGTCGTCGTCGTCGTCCGTCCTGTCGCCTGCGCGGGGAACGGGGGGACAGGGGGCATACGACAACGCAACTTCCCCTTTGGCACCGCTGGGGGAGTGGGGGGTCGCACCCCACGCCCCTTTCCTGGGAGAGGGGCGTGCGGGGTTCGAACCATTCTGCAATCGAATAAAGGACGCGGCTTCTCCAACTGTTGATCATCCCCCCTGCTCATTGTTGTCCGCCTAGTGTGAAGAGGCCTCGGGATACACACATAAATAGACACGAAAAACAGGATTCCGCATGTTTTCATATATTTTCAGGGTTGTTCTCTTTCCCCCCACTTCCCATATTTGCTCATATTTTCTGGGGGGTCGACGATTAATTGTGTTTGTGTGTTTTAGTCCCTCCTGATACTGTTAAGTGAGGCCACCTAACTTTGCGTACTGCGCCCCGCGATCAGTGGCGCGCTGTTCTCTTCGCGCCCTCGAGCCGCCGCCATGGCATCTCCGATCATCTCCAATCCAAACCGCGATGCGCGAAACGCGACTATCTTCGCGCCCTCGAGCCGCCGCCACCGTTTATCTCCAGCCCGAAACGCGATGCGCGGCTCCGTTTTGCGCCATCGCAGGCGACCTCGACACCCGTGACAGGCTGCATGACGTGGAACCCCCAGAACTATGGACCCCTTCTCCGGCCTGGTCGTGCATCCTGGGCTGTTCCCGACAGTCCAAAGGGGGCCCAAAGAGGGCCCCGAGAGGCCGGACAGAGCAGCACAGCAACCATAAGAAACCGTCGCCTCACCAGGACAGCAGCGGCAACGGCTGCGGCTGCTAACCAAGGATCGACCGTCCCGACATTCCTGTAGGCCTACCATGACGCGTTCCTTCAAACGAGAGCGCGTTCTGAGAGCAACGCTCTCGAAACGCAAGGGCGACGTGTTCAGTCAGGACCGCCTCGACCATAACTCTTCTGAGACCGTGCCGACCGAACACACACCCACACACTCAATCGTTGGCGGGCGTGTACCGTCGGGGCGCTGACCTAAGGAACCCTAAATAAGGAACGAGGCCCCTTTTCTCCAGAAGTTGAACTTCGATCTCCCTTCGAAAACCCAAGGATCACGCAAGGCAGACTGTGAAGCAATGAATGAGCACGGAGCCGCTACCCAACGAAAAGCGTTCCTTCTTCAGCGCCCCGACTGTACAGTCGGGGCCTTGACCTAAGGAACCCAAAATAAGGAACGAGGCCCCTTTTTTTCCATACGTTAAACTTCGATTTCCGATCGAAAACATAAGGAAAACCTGAGGCAAGCTGCGAAACACATAAGGAACGCGGAGCCCCTCCCTCACGAACAGAGTTCCCTCTTCGGCGCCCCGACTGTAGAGACGCGCCGGGAAGAGCACAAAACACCAAAAAACCCCTGCTCGGCGCACGCTGCAGGCCTCGATGCTGCTGAGCAGCTGCCCCACGCGGGCGGTCCACCTCTTCATGTGCTCCACCTGCAGCGTGGTGCGCTGGAGGCGGCCGCGGGCGGCCTCGCTCCGCCGGGGGTGGGGGGCGGGGGGGCAGCCTCGTCGTCGCCTCCGTCGCCGTCGGCCCTGGCGAGACACAGTCATCGGCCTGACCTAAGGAACGATAAATAAGGTACGATCCTCCTCCTCCTCCTCCTCCTGCTCCTCCTCCTGCTCCTCCTCCTCCTCCTCCTTCTCCTCCTCCTCCTCCTCCTCATCCTCCGCTTCCTCCCCCGACTCCTAGCCCTTTCGATCAGGGTCGGCGACACCGGCCGTCAGGCCTCTCCAATAAGGAACGAAGCCCCTTTTTATCCTAAGGAATAACGCATAAGGAACGAGAAACAACAAATAACGCGTAAGGAACTGCAAACTAGGCAGGCAAGCCTAAGGAACGACCGAGCCCCTTTTGAAAAGCAACTGTTCCTTAGTCAAGCCGCCCACTGCAGACCACCAAGTGGATGCTAGATCCCCGATCAGTGCTTGCACTGAAGACGTCCCAGCGGAAATAGGAAGGTTTCGCAAACATTTTTCGTAGCTGGCTAGGTTCCCGGGTTCCCGGTTCCGGGTTCCCGGTTCCGGGTTATTGGTTCTGGGCCGATTACGGTGGGTTCTGGGTTCCCGGGTTCCCCGTCGATCTCCTTATTGATCTCTTGATCGATGCCATCTCGAACCATCCACTGATTTGGGTTTTTCACTGATTTCATTTCCTTCCTTCCTCCCCAAGACGCCTCCCATAGTCCCCCACGAGACGCCCCAAGCGCCTCCCACACGCCCCCCCCCAGGATGCTCCAAAGGGGCCCCCAACGAGGCAGCCCACCACCCCTTCAGACCCATCCAGGAGGCTCCTGACCCCAGAAGCACGGCCGTCTGAGGCAATCAGTCCTGGTGGGGGTTGGCGAGTGGCGTATGTCAATTCACATAATATATAGGTGAACACACATATATATACACAACATACAAACAGCACATGAACATATACACACATATGCATACCATACGTATACATACTATTGCCCCAGTGCGACCCTACCTAGTAGTTGGAGCCCCTAGGAAAGCAGCATTAGTTGCTATGCTATGCTATGTTATGCTATGCCATGCTATGCTGCGCTATGCTATGCTATGCGATGCTGCGCTATGCTATGCTATGATATAATCTGCTAAGCTATGCTATGATAGGCTATGCCATGCTGCGTTGTGATATGCTACGCTATGCTATGATATGCTGTGCTATGCTAAGCTGCGCCATGCTATGCCATGCCATGCCATGCTATGCTATGATATGCTATGATATGCTGCGCTATGCTATGATATGATATGGTATGACTGGCGATGTTAGGCTATCATATGCTATGCTATACTGCGCTATGATGTGCGATGCTGGGCGATGCTATGACAGGCTATCCTGCGCTATGCTATGCTACGCTATGCTATGCGATGCTGCGCTCTGCTATGCTAAAGCTCAGCGAATATAATATGGAGGTAAGCTAAGCTAAGATAAAACTGAGCTAAGACGAAACGAAGCTAAACTACGATGAATTGAGCTAAGCTAAGATGAGATAAGCAACGCTAAGCTAAGGGAACGTAACTGGGGGGAACCGCGGGGCGGATACTGGGGGAACCGCCCGGGGTGCTTTCCACTGCCTGGCCCCTTTAAGCCCAGAGAGTAAGAACCCTTCTAGGCAGAGCCTAGGTTGGGAATTTACTCTCAACGCGCGCACAGTGTGATGACCGCGCCAGTGAAGCCATGCGCCATGAAGAGAACATGTGAGAAGCCGCGGCAGCAAAGGCTGGGCTTCCTGGAAGGCCTTCGCCGCCATGGCTGGATTCGCCTCCAAACGTTGGTCAGAACGCACCCCATGAAAGGTCCAGGGAGTAGCGGTATTGGTACCTCTTGATGTCCCTACTATAGAGGATGGGGAAGCTGATGTTGAGGATGCCAGTGCTAAGGAGGAACATGAGGAAGGAGCACCAGAAGGGCATTGATAAGGAAGTGGACGACCTCCCCCCCTCTTCCTCCCATCTTCGTCCCCCTCCTGCAGCTTTACTCACAATCTCCTTACTGGTCCTCCAAGGGCTCCCACCTTCGCGCTTGGCGCTGCGCGAAGTGCGAAGTGCGAATAACTTCGCGCTCTCGGGCCGCCTCCCAGGGGAGAAGATGAAGATGAGGAGGAATCGGAGCCGAACCGCGAAGCGCGAACAACTTCGCGCCCTCGAGGGCGCCCTTGTCCTCTGGCTCCTCTTGCTCCTCCAGCTGCTGCTCCACACCCACCCCCCTGCTGCTCGTCCTGCTCCAAGTGCTCCTATTACCCCCCCGGGACCCTCCCAAACCGCATCCGTCGACTCCCTTACCTACTCTTCGTCCTTGTTTTTTTATCGTCCACGTCCTCGTCGTCCTGCCCCTCCTCCTCTTCCTCGTCCTCGTAAATAATCCTCATCCCCTTCCTCCTTCCTCCCCCCATGTTTCTGTGCCTTCCTCACTCACTCCCCCCCTTCTATCATCCTCGCCGTATTCCACCCAATTGCCTCTCCCTCGTCATGAGTTGGCTGTCGAAGGGGCGGAGACTGACCAGATGGGTGCGTGCTGCTCGGTCGTCAACATTCGGCCCGACGCGCTCGCTGCAGCCCAAGAGTATTCCTCCCACTTTCTCATCAACAATAACGCCCGCTGGTCTGTCCGTGACTGCTGAAGTTCGGAAGGGGTTATCTGAGAGGCCTTCTCGGAGGAATGCAGGGGAACACCCACGAATATAGTAGGGGCCTGGCTGTTGTCACGCGTTCTGCACGGGAAACCACTCAAGCGGAATCTTCCAAAGGAGGAGGAGGAGGAGGAGGAGGAGGAGGACGAGGGGAGGAGGGAGGAGGAGGGGGAGGGGGAGGAGGAGGACGAGGAGGAGGGGGAGGAGGAGGGGGAGGGGTTGAAGGTCCGCTCAACGTTTAGAAAAGAGGAATGTGCAGCCGAATTCGTCGGGAGGAGGCATGGGGGGAAGCGGAGGGGGTCTGTGCACGCCCTCCCGCGAGCGTCGCGGCCTGGTGCTCCTCCATGGCCTTCTCGAGCTCCCGCTCCGTCTCCTCTCTGGCCTCTGACGGGGGGGAGGGCGAGCGCATCCGACGGCAAAAGCTCCTCCGAGTCGGCCAGCCTCCCATCAGAGACGCGGCTGCCAATCTGGGCTTCGGTCCTCCTCCTCCTCCCCAAATCTCCTCTGATGTCTGCCTCCGCATACGTTTACTACTCCTCCCTTCTTCCGCCTCCTCACCTCACATGGCTCCTCTTAGGAATGCCTCTTCATCCTGAGCATGCCCTTCCTTCCTCCTCCCCTCCTCCCCATCGCCGTCCTCCTTTTACTCGCCACTTCCGTTCATTACATTGGCCGTTCTGATCGTCTTCTTCTGTTATTCTTCGTTCTGCAGCTAATCATAATTTCTTCCTCGTCGTCCTCCGTCTCCTACGTAATACTCTTCCTCGTCATCCGGCCACCTGTTCCTCCTGCTTCTCCTGCTCCTCCTGCTCGTCCTCCTCTTCATGTCCCCGACTTGGATCTCTTGGAGCCTTGCCGAGGACTTGCAGGGCTCGCGTAGTGCCTGTGTGGCTCTGTTTCAGGGTCGGTGGGGAAGCCAGAAGATACTGATACCGCAACTCCCCAGGCGTCTCCTGGGGTGCGTTCTGACCAGGATTTCGAAGCGAATGTAGCGGTGGCGACAAAAGAGGCCCAGGAGGTCCCAAAATGGGACAACGAGGGGAGGGTAGAGGTATCCCAGACCCCCGACGTCATGATTTGTTCATGACGTCGCCCCCCAGAAGTCTAGAGCCCTTCTCCAGGACCGGTGTTTCATCCTGAGTTGTTTTGCTGACGGTCCCGAGCCCCGGCGAAGTCCCCCAGAGGCTGAAAATGGCAACAACAAAAATAACTCCCGCCATGACTTTTGTCGCTACTCGAGGGGGTCTGGGATGGGTACAGTCGAGGCGTTGACCCAAGGAACCCTAAATAAGGAACGAGGTCCCTTTTTCCCATACGTTCAACCTCGATTTCCCATGGAAAACCTCGGGGAAACCCGAGGCAAACTTTGAAACAATCAAGGAACACCGAGCCCCTCCCCAACGAAACGAGTTCCTTCTGCAGCGCCCCGACTGTACCGCTTTCCCTCCTCCGAGGTCTGCCGATCAGGCCTCGGCCTGGCATGTCCTGGGGAACCGAACTCTATACACCGACGCTTTTCCCGACCCTGTGCTGAAATTCGCACAGGAACGGGATCCTGGTGTATACATGTTTCGTTGCTTCCCTTGGAAAACGATGGAAGTATATATGTGTGTATGTATACTTATCCTGCGACGTCGTCCCCGTCGTGGCCCCCCTTGAAGAACGAAGGAAAACGTGTGGTGTATACCTTGGCTTTGTCTTGGGGGTCTGCGCTATTGGGGGGTAGCTCAGGGGCTGGCTCACGAGCAATATTGTATTTGGCTTCCACGGCCTGCCGCACGCAGCGTTTGCCGCAATTGATTCGCATCTCGGCCCAGCTACCACTCATTATATCAGAGGACATTCGCAAATCGCAAACCGCCAATAACCGATGAATGGACGACTGAGGTGGCGGGCTTACGTTCAAAGCAAGCGCACTCACATAACGGCTTGCCAGGGAACTTCGGGGCCGCGCACGCGCGGCAATAGGCGTGCGAATTTCCCAACGTCGTTCGTGCGCCAACTCGTACACCGACCCCCCCATCGCTTTTCACATTGATGTTGCTTCCCATGCGTTGCCCATGCTCCCGGGCGCATCGGGGCATCTAGGGCGCGATCGGAATCGCGTTGGAACGTCGTCGGGGCGACTCGAGGCGACCCCTGGAGCCGCCTGAGGTCATATCGGCCGTCTTTGGAGACGTTTTGGGCGCATCGGACATCTGCGCGGCCCGAGCCCCCTAGCGACACGAGCAGCTATGCTTGTACAAGACCAAATGCTGCGACGCAAGCGAACCTCCGACATGTAAGGACTAGATGCAGGCATGCCATCAAACGCAGAACGCACGCATGCCCCCGCTGCAAGATACCAACATGCAATGCAAATGCATACTGCATGAAAGCGAACGCTACGCACATGCACATTCCCCCCCTCCCCAAGTCAGACCGGATATCCTGGGAGAACGATTCCTCGGCCACGCGCGAACGCAGCGCACGTTCACAAACTACGCAGGTTGCAAGACCTGGTGGTGCCTGTCAGCGCCGCCCAACTGGCCAACAAAGGAACGGGCTGGCGCAACGCTTGCGCGCGTCATTTTTCCAGGAACGCCACTCGCAACCGAGCGGGTTTGTGGGGGCGCGCAACAATACCGTGCAATGAGCTTGCCTGACGCCTTATATGCCCTGGTTGACCACAAGCAGTATACTAGAGTTGTGTTTGGAAGCCATACTACGAGGACGATACAAGGTATGGCCTGGCTGGAATGCACTAGGTCTGGGCCTGACCCCAACAAGAGCGCTCGCGCATGGCCAGCATGGAGCAGGCCCCAATCGCGAGCCACGCAGCGGCCGAAGGTCTTCACCGTCCACGTCGTGGTTGCTCAGCGAAAAGCGCTGTCGCCATTCGCGCCGCCGCGCAAATTTGCTCACCTCGCGGGGTAGCGCGCAACACGTGACTTCTTTTATCTCGGCGTCGGCCGAGCGCAGTGCTGCGAATTGCCATGCGCAGCCCTCCGTCCTTGCGCGGAGCGCGAGCGATTTTTTCTAACTACAACAACGAATATACTTCCTTGTCTCGGCGCAAGCCGAGCGCCTTTTTCTCTTGTATCCAACAACCAGCCAGGGGCTCCTTGAATGGGCGGCAGCCGAACGTTTGTGGCGACGTGCAATCCGCTGCCCTCTCTCGCGCGGATCGTGAAGCTTTTTCTCGGCGTCAGCCTATTTTTTCTGCGAGCACCACTTGCCAGCGACCCCCCCCTTCCCTTCGCGCAGCCGAGCGATTTCTGCCAATTGGAACTAGTTGCGCTTTTATCTCGCGCGGAGCGCGAGATGCTCCCACAAGGGTGCCATTTGGCTCGGTGCCAGCCCAGGTATTTTGTGAACTCCAACAACTAAGGGGGCCATGGCGCAAGTCTGGAAAGCGCTGGGCCAACCTAGGCGCAAGAGTCTGCGAGGACCCGGGGCCGGCAAATCGCACGGCTTCCCGCGGGTCGCACCGGCCCCGCAAACCCGACAAGCCACATGGGCCCCACAGGCCCCGCAGGTCGCACAAGCCCCACGGGACCTGTACGTCGCGCAAGCCCCACGGTTCCCACATGTCGCACAAGCCCCACGGGCCCCCACTTATCCCACAAGCCCCGCAGACCGCGGCGCGCGTGGATCGGGGGCCCAGGCGCGCGCGGCCAGGCACCCGTGGCGCGCGAGGCTCGGGGCCTGCGACGCTCTGAACCGACCGAAGCTCAAGGGGCTCGCGGAGCTCGGGATCGACGAGGCTGTACAGTCTGCGAGGGCACGCCCTCGCTAGGCGCCACCAGTAATGCACGCGGGCGGGCGCGCCATGGCGCCCGCGGCGTGCGTGGGCGGGCGCGGCCAAGCACCCGCGGCCCGCGCGCGCGGGCGCAGCCAGGTACTTGCGGCCTGCGGGCGCGCGCAGCCAGGCGCGCGCGCGCGCAATGCGCGGGCGGGCGCGACCACGCGCCCGCGGACCGCGCGGGCGGGCGCAGGCAGGCACCCGCGGCAGAAGCGCCAGGGCGCGCCCGGGCGCGTATAGGCGGTGCTGCGGGTGGCCGCAGCCCCCCGTACGGTTCCCACCCGGATCCCCGCGCCCCCCCCCCCGGTGGCTCGACGCAGCTGCCCGTCCCGCAGGGCGGGTGGTGGGGGGAAAAAGCTACCGGGGCTCCCCCGGGCACTCGGAGGTTTTTCCTAAAGTGCGTCCTAGCGCTCGAGCACGGCAAGCGTAGACGCGAAAATGACTTGTGCGTTTTCTCGAAAGTGTGCCCGCGTTCGAAATCGCATTCTGCCTTTGCGGGCATGAATGTCTCGGCGAGCGAGGTGGACTTTTGTTTTCCGGGCATGAGTGTCTCGGCGAGCGAGGTGGACTTTGTTTTTCTTCGACGTCGCAGTTTCGGAGGAAAAATGAAACGTGCGTCGCAGTTTCGGAAGAAAAATGAAACGCACGTCGCAGTTTCGAACCCAAATGGCGACGTCGCAGTTTCGGCCTCAAAAAAAAGTTGGGCGCGCGAGGTGTCTCGAGTGTCCTGGGGGGCTCTTTTTCCTGTGCGCGGAATGTCCGGCGTCGCGAAAATGCATTTTACTCCTATGCGTTGCGCGACGAAGCCCTCTCGAGACTCCCGTGGTTCCCCCGTCCAGGGCGTTCGAACGCGCGCGGACAAACGCGCCCTCTCGTTGGCCGCGACAGGCCGCGCGAGGCCGGGCGGGGCCGCGCGCCCGTGCGCGATGCCAACTGCACCGCCGTCCCTCCGCTTCGCGCGCTGCACGCCAGCGGAGCATGCGCGACCCGCAGCGCCTCCTCGGCCGGCGTCCACGCAGCATCTCCAGCCAGTTCGCGCGCCCCCTGGCGAACCAGTCGAACCCGCCTTCCACGGGGCCGCCTCGCTCGCGGCGGCCCCGGTGCGGGGGCGCGCTTTCGACTGCGCGCGACCGAAGCGCAGCTCCTGGACACCGAACCATCACGCCGCCATGGGTCCAGAAAAGAAGCGTGGGAGTGCTCTCGCCCGCGGCGCGCGCGCCTCGCCGTGCCTTCGCGCGCGCCATGCCGCCCGCGCAGTTCGCGTCGTCTTTGCCATTGGCCGCGCGCTCGAGGCCGCCCGCGCGGCACGCGGCATCTTCGGCGCATTTTCCAGGCGATGCGCGGCTTGAGCGCGTCGCGGCGACGCCCAGGAGTCGCCGCGCGCGCGCCGCCGCGCGCGCGCGACTGCGCGTCGCGCATTTCGCCGCGCGGTTGGCTGGGGACAACAGCGCGCCAAGTCGAAAATGGGAATTGAACGCGCGCCAAATGCCAATGTCAGTCCCCAGACCCGCGAGGCGAACTCTTGATTTGGGAACCGCGGACCTCGCTGCGCGGTCGACGCCGCGCGCGCGTAGCTCCTCGTGCC